TCTGAGGCTGTTTCCTCATGTAAAAACAATGCCAACAATGCCTTCTGAGTGTCCATGTATCCAGTGATGCCTGCCATTTGGGAGAAGTGCTTGGGTCTGGAGAAATAGAGACTGCCTATATTTAGGGCAGTTTCTTCAGTCCTCCATGTTCTTACAGTATTTCTATTTCTGTGAAATTTCCTCTGTGATACCCAGTTCAGTGTTTGCACACCTGGGGCCCAGAAGCTTCAGTTGCTTTTCTTTCTGAACGGAGCAGGTAAAATGAGCCAATGGGGCAGGGAAGGACTGCATGCTAACATGTGATCAAGCCATGGCCTGAGTCCTCTGACTTCTACTGACCCTGATCTCTGGCCTTTGGAGGCATTTGGGCCACAGAGCTCTTTTGCTTGGGGATTCTTTCTGACCTGGGTGTTCTGCATCCAGACACCCAGCCTTCCCAAGGGCACTGTGCCTGAAGGGCAAAAGCAAAGAACTTCTGGTCCTCTTCTCCAGGGACAAAGCAGAGGCTGGCAAGCCAGAGTATATGCAAAGAGGACCCTCAGGAGCCCCCTGAAGGCTGGAAGCTAGTGACAGGAAAGGGTGTTGAAGACAGGGGAGTAGGGGGTGGTACTCTGAGAGGCAGGGTTCTTAGGTTAATCATCTCCATGGCTCAGATAAGACCCTGCCAACTGGAGGCAAAGTTATTGGGACCAGAAGGGTTTGTGTGACTGCAGAGGCAGGCAGGTTGGAGAGTCCACAGTGTGGGACTATGCCAGGCACCAAACGATATCAGCATGTGATTGAGATCCCTGAGCCTGGTGAATGGGAGGTGAGGTCCCTTCTCAGTTTCAGCCTTTTGTCTGATTCCTAAAATACTTTTAAATTTGGGCTGGACTCAACTCTGGACTTCTCCCTCCCTCTTCCTTCTCTTCTTCTTTTTGGCTTTTGATACAGGGCCTAGCCCAGGCTAGCCTCAAACTTGCTATATATTTGAGGCTAGCCTTGAACTCCCAATCCCTTTGTTGCAGCTTCACTTTCCAAATGCCTGAATTGCAGGTACACTTACCATGATAGGCATTCTTTTTCCTGTTCTTCCCTTATGATCTTCCTTCCCTAATAGGCTCAGAACATCACATGTTTTTAGTATGTGAATGGTGTGCACCTGTATGTGTGCATGTGTGTGCACAAGTCAGTGTGTGTGTGTGAAGTATGTGGTCTGTGTGTGTGTGCCTATGTGTGTGTGTCTGTGTGTATGTGTGTGTGTGCCTGTGTGTGTGTGTGTGTGAAGTATATGGATCTAAGCCAAACACTGAGCCTACTGCCACTCTCACCTCCAGTCCAGCAGGCAAAAAGCAGACTTTGACTTTCTGCCCCTACCCTTGTGTCCCCTTCTCTTTAGTTGTCAGTGTATGAAGCAGCTGTGCCAATCACAGAGAAGTCCAACCCACTGACCCGGAACTTGGACAAAGCAGATGCAGAGAAAATTGTTCAATTGCTGGGACAGTGTGATGCTGAGATATTCCAGGAGGAGGGACAAATCATGCCTACCTACCAGGTGACCCAGTGTCAGATCTCAGAACTGCAAACAGAGATGCCAAGTCAGCCATATCTCTACCCTCCTGGTACAGGAAACCCTGAGCCCTCTCCTCCATCCCAATCCATCATCCTCAGTTTCTCTCCTGCCCTCTCATTCCCAGTTTTAAAATTCATTCATCTGTTTTGTGATGTGGAAGGATTTGTTCTATGGGGACATGTGTGGATGTCAGAGGACAACTTTTGGGAATCAATCTTTCCTTTCACCATGTGGGTCCCAGGGATTGAGCTCAGATCATCAGACTTGGCCACAATCCCCTTAACTCACTGAGACATCTCGCTGTCTTCCTCCATCCTGATTCCTGTCCACTCTCTA